CACCTACCCACACTCAGCAGCTAGCTTAGCAACGCGGAGCTAATCTTCTCTAAGCACATTAAGCTTTATGAGGGCTGAGCACAAAAGCTGCTTACACACACACACACACACACACACACACACACAAACCATCAGAAAAAGACTGATGAGAATTTGATAGCTGCTTCTGTACTTGTAGCTGCTGTTCTATCATTGGAATGAAAAGTTATTTTAACTTTAACAACAAAGTGAACAGTTAATGTTTGGTATTTGATCATCTTACGTGTGTGTGTGTGTGTGTGTGTGTGTGTGTGTGTGTGTGTGTGTGTGTGTGTGTGTGTGTGTGAGATCAGTCATGGTCAGTGTGTTTCAGTGTCCGCCTTTGACAGTAAACTGCTATTTGATTATCCAGTTCACCTCAGTTCAGCAGCAGGATGATGTCACAATTTAAACATGGTAACTTTCATGTCAACGCACTTACCATTAAACAGTCAACTATTTCCAACTGTAAGATTCCACTATCACCTGTCCTCTTGAGGAATAGGGACCAGCTGATCGTCAGCTGGCTTTCTTTTAACCTGGACCTGAGATCATTTATCTCGCCTTCAAGTGCATATTTTAGACTCATCCAGTTTAAAAGCTACAGACAGTTTCATCGATCTCACAGTGCTGACAGCGGATTGCTTTAAGCTTAACAAACAGAAACCTCTACACACGATACAGCAGATCATCTGATCATCTTCAAGTGCGTTGACTACTTTCAGCACAATTAAAGGTGGCTCCACCTGTCTGTAATCAGTCACACATTGGTTCAGAAAGCAACATATTATGATACTGAACATCTATGGATGAATAATAACAAAACTACATTTAAACTGTAAATTATTTTTACAATAATTTCTTACTCTGGATTTTTTAATGGAAAAATCCTGATGAATCCCAACCAAGCAATGATTTTGAAAGCAAAAAAGATATAGATGACTAACCCATCATATTCATCCAGTTTGCATTCCTTTATCACTGAGAGAGCATGACCCTTCCTCTCTGTTACTGGAGAGAGAAAGACAGGTAAAGACAGAGAGAGGGGGAAAAAATAAGTAAGCAGATGGAGAGACATTGAGATGGACAGAGATAAAGTGTTCGTGCATATGTGTGGTCAGATGAAGTGTGTGTTTGATGACTGCCAAAAAAAAAAACTGGGACAGCGGATATCACACCATCTGCTGAGAGGGGGAGAGTAGAAGCAAACAGGAGGAATCAAGAAAAAAGGAGGAGAAAAAGGAAACATGGGAAAAGTGATGAGACAAGAAGATAGGAAATGAGAAGGAAAGAGGACACAAGGATATGAGGCAGGAGAGGAAAACAGAAAGGTGAAAAGAGGACAGGTGGAAAGAAAACAAGAAAACAGCAGAGAGGAGAAGCACTGGAAATGAGACAAGAGCAAATGATTGGAAACAGGAGGAGACAGGAAAGGAGAGGAAAAAAGATGGAGAAGATGAGGGGAGGAGTGCAGAGGAGGCACCCTCTGTCACAACAGATGGGCTAAGCTCCGCCCCCTATATCAGGTTACCTAGCGACCAGAAGCTGCCATTAACTCTGACCTTTGGACTCCCTCCACACACACGCGCGCACACAGATTTCAGTATCATGTCTGATGTCAGTAAAGATCTAGTTGTTAAAACCCTGCCTCACATAGTTTTATATTTAAAAATAAACACACAAAAATACGTACATTTATTTATATTTTTATAATTATAATTTTTCAGTGTTTCTACTGAGCAGAAAAATAAACACTTGGATGGACTAACCTGTGATGTCAGTTTGGATGTCAGCCATCTTGAATAGAGGAGCCACGTGGTCTCTGTAGATGTGAACGGCCTCCTTCTTGTGGCTGCTAGGGTTGATGAAGACCTTCAGATTTGTAGGACGGTTGCTGAACCCTGAAAACACGCACACATGCACACACACACACATTTAGCAGGTGCATCATAGGTTGGATTTTGAAAGAAAATGAAACCCTGCAATGGTTGGTTAGCTACACTAGTGATGGGCTATGAGCCAGTTATTGTTCAACAGACTGAAAGATAGTTAGGTCCATACATCTTAGCACAGTAATACCACAACAGTGAATTTTAAACAAAACAATGTAGATGTGAAGTAGACACAGCTTTAATTACAGTGATTTTCATGCAGAGTCCCCCCATTTTCAGAGGATCAAAAATGACTCCATGCATTACTAGGAGATTTTGCCCAGATGTGCAAACCAGTTGGTGGCAAACTGGTTCACAGTCATGAGTTTTTGATCCTTTGAGTCTCCTTTATTGAGACTCAGTTGCACTTCATGTTTATTAGCATTTAACAAATATCTGAGTAGTGACACCTGCTTTTCAGGAGTGGCTGTGTGATGACGTTACCGGCAGCACGTGAAGCAACCATTGCAGTGGGATACACTGGCGGCTTTACACTGCTACTAGCATAGCTCCTTGGCTGTAGGTAATATTTCCAACTACACCACATGCCACTGTGTGTTTTGGTCCACAATATAGTGCCTTTAAAAGTCAAAAATGAAAGAAAAAAAATGTGTTCATGTGCTACTTTTAGTGAACAAAAAAGATAAAATAGAAAAATTACTGCTGCTGATTACATAAAGTTCTGGATTATAAAATGTCTATGAACTATCTTTCATCATAGCCAGCTGAGGGTTCCACTTCACGTTCCTCTGCAGCTGTGTTCTGATAGGTGAAGCAGTTTTGTATGTTTATTTATGTGTACTCAAGAAGTTAAATAACTTTTCATTTTGGACAATAAGATTTGGAAGACTGCAAATATTTTTCTAAAAATACTAAAATTTTAATATGAGCTCTTAATGCGTTAATTAAAACAACAATCAACTTACCAAGTGATGACAAACAGCCCAACAGCTGACTGTCCTTACTTGAACGCTGATCACAACACACTTTGTTATCGTGGCTGACATTAAGTATCTGAACAAACTGAAGAACATCTTCACTTAAAATTCTGCATGGATCAGAAACTGACTTCCACATGCCCTAAATTTAAAGTATTAACCCAGATATATATATATATAAATAAACAGATAACACGTGTCTGTATACCTGCTTCAGTATATGTGGAGGTGGCCTGTTTGATACATCAGAATATTGTTTACATCTACAACACTGGTTGATGGGTGTGTGTGTGTTGTTTTATAATATCGACACATTACACACATACACAGACCCCCTGTATGACGCATCATTAGGCAGATTTAGAGACCGCATTATGAATCCCTCTGGACCATCTCAGATCAATACACACACACCAGCTCCATTATCCCTCTCATTACTATAATCTGCTCCCAAAAGGCCGTGACCTCGCCCTGTTAATGACCCCCACACACATATACACAATGTGCACCTCCTGCCATCACTCCACCCCATGGCTCTGACCAGGTTCTCCGGAGCTCCTGTGAGGAGCTACCCGACACCTCCACATCTCTCTAGTGGTCCCCCATCAAATACCAGAATCTCCACCCTGTCGTTGTCCCACAAATCTCAGGCCTATTTCCATTCTAAGCAACACATCTGTGCTGCAGCACTAAACTAACAAGCCTGAATGAACCTACATTTCTTTTTGGTTTTATGTGGAAATTGCAATCAATTAAAAAAGGCCTCAAAAGACACCTTATCTCTTACTGATCTTATAATTATAAGAAAGGACCTTGTGATGATAACAGAGGGTCTCATTACTATCATCAGGAGCAAAGTTGGATTGCTTAGTTTTCAATATTTATTCATGTGTGCTGTAATTGATTCTCCTTCAGTTTAATGAGCATGGATTATTCTGCTCTTTAACTGCTAATAACAAGAGAAATGGAAACCAAACAAACCTTTATTTTGAAATCTGGAAGTATTCTTTGGTGGGATTGGCAGTACTTTTAAAGGGGCTTATGAAACTGCCGATCAGGTCAGTATTTAGTTCAGTAAGTTCAATACCAGGAAACCCTAAACTGGGATTGTTGCAGTATCCTCTGTCTCACACTTGTGAAATCTCTTTTGACCAGTGTTTCTTAAACTGAGCATTTAAAACACAGGAGCAGCTGTTTTGACCACGCAAAGGCGTGGTCAAAACAAGGATCTGTGCATTTGAAAATGAATGGGTTTTTCAGAATGTTGAAAAATAAAGACTTAACATTTAGACCAGTTACACTTCTTTTAGAGAGTGTATACTGGCAACTTGCTTATAAAAGCTAATAATGTGTTAAAAATGACAGAAATCACTCACACTGTTGATGCATAAACAGATGCTTTCTGTCATAAAGGAACCATCTTCACAACAAATGTAAGAAGACGACAGACTCACAGATATAAAGAGGTCAAGTATCCATCAGATCATCTCCGAGCCTTGACCAGTGACAGGTTGCTATGGCGCTGCTGAAATGTTACCATGGTAAACAATCCCCGTGTCATCAAGGAGTAGTGTTGAGTTTCTGACTGAGCACTTAAGACTGGACTGCTGCATGTTGTTTACAAACAGACTCCATCTTATTATAGCTTTCAAACATCATTTTTCCTGTCTGTGTATGTTCTCAGTCATCCAGGTCATCGCAAACCCAAGGAAATCCAAATCTTTCCATCCTTAGATCATTTTTAATTAGTTCACAGCTTCATTACCTACACAAGTTTTCTGCGAAGCATTTAACATGCAGTCATTAGATCAGTCTCAGTCTGTATCAGTTTCTCTAGTGTGAAAATGTGCTACTTTACACTTTTTTTTTTAAAATCACTGCAAGTTGAAACATTTTGCAATTAAGGGGGTTTTAATTATAAATGATAGTCACAGTGGACAGTGCGGGCTGACAGAGGTTATAGGAAAAGGGAGGAAGGGTATCAATATCAAACTATTAGTGACATGGTGCTCAGAGCATTTGCACCCATGGAGTATGCAGCTCAAACGCTCACATATCTGGTTGTCCACCACGATGACATGCTTCACTAGTTCAAGATTTTGGATTTGAGGAGGAACAATCTAGACAACACCTTTCTAAAAGAGTGTAAGGAAAGCCACCTCAGATGGTAAACACTCATCCTCCTGGGAGTCCCTGGAGCTCTTATATGTAAATAAAAGGCGATGGAAAATACAGTGCATGGGTAGCAGGTTCCTGAATTTAATAAAACACAACTATACTCCATTTCTAGAGGTAAAACCTTGCATTTTGATGTTGTCCTTTTGACCATATGACAACTTACAGTACCACTGGACTAACAACACCCATTTTACTCTGATACTGTGACCCCGAGGTTTCTGTAAGCAAGCAGCAACCGCAAGACAAAAGATCTGGGAGGGGTCGCTGTGGCACCTGGTGACCTATGAACGCTCACTTCAGTTGTCCTGCAATTTCCACCGACCTGTCAGTCTGTTGTGGTGTTAAACAACTGCAGTCAGTCGATCCTGCAGACTGACTGTGAGTATGGAATTGGAGTCTATACAGCAGCAGTTCTCGCCTTTTGTCACTGACTACCATTCACTTTCTGAACAGCATTCTGCAGCTGCTTCACACAGCAAACAACAAAAAATGAGGTTCCAGAAACAGGAAGTGTCTGCGCTGTGCACACCATTGTGCAGATGACTGTTCAGACCCGAAGGTTAAGAAGTGGTGCCGGCGTCGGCTGCGGCGGGACTGCCCGCTCGGTGACGCCATGATTCGCACAACAATACGCTTTTCACACTGACCTCTGGCTGGAAAATAGGCTTAATGTCCGCACAGCGGCAGAGCTACTGACTGTGTTTACCTTTCACACACACACACACACACACACAGGCACACAGACTCCTCTGCTGCGGTGTGTAAAGTCACAAAAGCCGTCACAGCTTGATGTGCAGTGTGACCACTTGAGCTGACACACGACCTGCGGGCCATTCATGTCTGTGAGTGTGAGTGCGAGCCCATAAGACAAAGACTTGAAGAAGTTGTGACTTTGCTGCAGGGCCTCATGGGTAATCTGGTTTGATAGACAGACAGATGGACAGACAGACAGGTGACCAGCGATAACATGTCAGACTGATGCCATGGTGATAAAAGGACAGTAATGTGTGTGTGACCTCTGACCTCTTCATTTATGGATAGCTTGTAATGTCTCTGTTGCAGTTGGCGTGGTTGGACAAATAGAGAAGAACTGAAATGTAAAATGTGTCCATGTGAGTTAAATCCACACAACAAGCACTTCAACATTTCTATTGTGTGTTAACTGTCAGCCACGCACCGCCCACTACAGTGCACCTGGGAAATCAGCGTCTGGGAACGTCCGACTGCAGCAACATCCAGAGCTTTAGCAGCAGGTGGTTGGGCAATGAAGAGGTTATTCTTCTGAAAACTTTATGCTCTATAGAAAAAATATACTGATGTCTAAAGAAACTAAACAACTGTGACATCTTCTGCACTTTATTTGATACTTGAGACTGAGTCAGAGACATAAGATTGTTTTTTGGGGGGGGTTTCCTAGCATGGTGAAGAAGAACTGAACTCAAGGCTCGGACGTCAAACACATTGCACACCATTGGTTGAACTTGAACACCAACAACAGCCCAGCCCCTAAACAAGACCACGCTAAAGCTATTGCAGCTGCAGATTCAGAAATATTGCTGAAAATCTGAAACTAGAAAAAAGTCATGTCTCCATGCTTTCAGCCCTGCAGTGTGTGTTGTCTAAAGCTCCAAGCCTCAGAGATATTTCTTATGCACTAAATATGAAGTGGCTGTATACACACGTGTTCATGCAGACAGTAACTAATCTCTCCTGCAGACAACATGATTTAACTGCTGACAGCACTTTACTGAGTACTGCTAAATGTGTGTGTGTGTGTGTGTGTGTGTAATCCTTTGTTCCTGTGGATTAGCAGATTAGTTCTCTGGTCTGATGTAACTGTGACTCACCTCATTAAACTGAGTGATGAACAGATAGAAAACAATGAAATTTTAATCTGAGCAGCTAGCACTGCATCATCATGCAAATCATCTGCAGACGTACAAAACACAAAGGTGTGCGTTTTAAATCCTGGTATATCTTGGGCAGTTGCAGTGCTGACTGACCACGTTGGCTTAGAAAAATATCAGCACAGATTTCAGCTCAGTTTTGTTCCAAATAACATAAGGTTTTGAAATGTTATACATTAAAGCCCCTGAACTATAATAATGGCAGGGTGTCAGCACATCTAAGCAGAACAACCAGTAAAATAAACTGCAACCTTTCCACAGACTGTAGAAAAAACTGCTTTATCAATCTAAACAGTTTATGGTCCAGACTAACTTGCAAGCCAAAGTTTTAATGCAATCACTTGCAGTAAACCACATGTTTAATTACTATGTTTAGTATTTTAGTTAAGTGTGTTAGCATGCTAACATTTGTTAATTAGCAAAACAGATTGTATATAAAAGCTTTTGTAGCTTTTGGACTTGACAATTGTAGGCAACACACAAGTGTTTTAACCCTGGATCCCCCCCAAGCAAGGGACAAATCCTGTGGTTGCAGAAACACTTTAAGTTATACAGAAGTTTCTGGGGGGGGGAAAAGCTCTGTTTCCATGATCTGAAACCTCTGTGAACACTGATGATTTTACGAGCTAGTTTCAAGTCTTATTCAATAAAACATTGATTTTGTAAATTATGATCCCCATTATTATCAGAAAGGAGCATGAAGCACGGTTATCTCACTTGGTAATGACTTGTGATTAACATGACAAGAATCCTCCACTGTTTGGTTTCAAAGTCAGACACCCAACAAAGGCAACGTCTGGTTTTAAAAAGCTAAGATCTTAGCTTGAAGCTAAGCTTGAAGTGTTACAATGGGACTTCACTGAATGAGCACTCAACACAAAGAACAGCTGAGGCTGATGGGGATGACCGTTTTTTGGATATTATAACAAATTAAAATTCTGGCCTAATGAAAAATGTATTATAATTCAATCTTCCAACAATGCAAACATTTCCAACACTTTACTACTTGATTTTTCTTTTTCAGCTTTTCCAAACAGAACATTCTTGTTAATGAAAGTGAACAACAAAAACAAGACTTTATGACTCCAAAATCAACTATTTGCTATGGTAGCATCTCATCAGCAAAAATACCAAATAATCAGAGCCCAGAATACAGTCCAGCATCAGAATTTTGTTATGCTACAAAAAGTGTTGCCTTTTATTTACAGTTGTGGGTGTGGCAATTTTTAGGATACCTTACTGACAACATTTGCACAAAAACATGTAGTAATACAGATGTTGTATGTCTAGTAAGAATCCATGTATTTATTCGTTCATTTAACAGTTGTATTAGCTATGATGTAAATAAAAATATGAGTTTAAATTTGTAATGTGTGAATTTAATGACAAACTCCATTTAAATAAGTCTCCATTCATCAAACCATCTAATGGACAGATGCTAAGCGTGCTACTTATAACAGTATTACTCAGCAGTGTGTGTGTACAGTTTAATCATCTTAGAGTATGACACTCACTGAAGCACTGACTCACGTTTCTCCTGTTTCAGCTCTTATGTAACACAAACTGCCAGTCACATTTTCAGTGAGTCCGTCACAGTTGGATGTTCAATGTGGGCCCAAGGAACCTCCAAACTGGGTCTCATCCATTAGCTTGGTCAACTTTACATTCCACTGTTTTGTCCATAGCAATTTCACAGCATCTGGGTGTTACTTTCAACATTTTAACAGGATAACAGCAGAAACCATGAACCCCAAATGGTTAATGGCTGACCAGCTCCACCATCTAAGACAAAGATGCTGAATACTGACAAAAATACTTTAAACTCCTGGTTTGCTTTTGTGTGCTTGCTGCTTGAACTGCACGACAGTCTGAATGTCTGTGTTACCTGTGAGCAGCTCCTTCAGGGTGTTGTACCAGGTGTGTGTGTGTTCTGAGGAGGCATTGTGGAGGTGCAGCGTGTCCTCCTCCAGCCTTCTCCCTTTCCTCCTACACCAGAAGAGAGCCACACCAAGCACGGGTCCCCCTGACTCCTGGCCCGCAGCTCGCCTCCGCTTCACCTTCACTGCAAATATGTCTTGCAGCAGCACCTCACCTGACTGTGGGACACCAGTCTCACCTGCAGAGAAAAAAGTACTTAACAAACAGCACTTGAACACAGCACACTTTTTAATGAACAAGGTACATGATGGACATCTGAGAGGTTTGGGTACGTTTTGAAAGGGACCAGGCTGTATGTCTGTGAAGGTTCTCAGTCATCCAGGCTAACAGTTTCCCTCTTCTTCCAGTCTCTGTGCTAAGCTAAGCTAAAAACATCCTTGACCAGTGTGAACAGATGAAATGCTGAGATTTACCCAAAATGTCAAAATGCCATTTTTTCTTTTTATAAACATTAAGACTAAAGTCTTATTAAATAAAACATTCAAATCCACTGCGAAAAAGTAAGTGTATAAAAGGATACTACCATTAACAACAAACTCTGTGATTAGTTTGTCTGATTGATGTTTTACTGTATGTTTAAATTCTTTTGAATAGTCAATCAAATGTGAACGCTGCACATTGCTGCTGTCAGCAGAATGTAAAGTACAGCATCAACAAGTACAATCGTGAAAGAATTCTGAAACCTGATTGGCCAGCATCATATTAATCTTCTAATCCTCCGAGGATAATATTAGCATAGCTCAGACAGTCCATTCAGAGTTACATCACATTTTACTCAGACACAAAGAAAATACTTTGTGTCTGAGTGAGCTTGTGCGTGGCTCATTTGCAGATGACAGTAGTGCAAGTACTTTGGAGTTTTTTTGTGCTTTTTTTGTTGTTGTTTTTTCACAAGGAGCTTTTGACTTAAATGTAAATCCCCTTTACAGTATGTAAACTTCTAAACAAACTTATGGAAACTTTTGCTTTCACACCTAATTAAACTGGTTGGTTTCAGTTTAAAAAATGTGAGAATTTGCCAATTTCCCTGGATTCTGATTTATCAGATAAGAGATGAGGAGATAAGGAACACCTTTTTCATGATCGATTCAGCCCTCCTTTTATACTTAGTGTTAAAAGAAGATGTGATCACCTTCATCCTATGATAAAATATTTCTATCCTGATGTAAGTGGTCACTTCCAGGACTACTAGCCTACGTCTATGCATACTCAAACAACAAACATGCAAACTGTGACACATTGTGTGTTCTAGTACCTCTCTATCAGAAAAGTCTGTTGGATCAGACAACACGAGCCAGCATTCGCTCCTTACATGCATCAGTGAGCCTTGGCCGGCAATGACCCTGTCGCTGTTTCACCACTGTTCCTTCCTTTTGTGTGAACAAAATCCTCACTTGCTACCCAATATATTCCATCCACAATGAAGAGATATTCAGTGTCATCCACTTCACCTGTCAGTGATCATAATATTAGGACTGATCATGTATACACCTGCGTTAAACACCACCACCATCATCAAAACAGCAAATGGGGAATTATCTTTTAAAGGATTGTGTTCCCTCACTTCAGCAGACGTCCAGAGATGAGATACAGTGTCACAGTGCAGTAAAGCTGCTCTGGCAACACCTCACTAAAACATCTTTCTTCTTCCACAAAAGTAGAACTCAAGCACATCCAGTAGTTTTTTTTTGGAACTTATAGCAGGAATTTTAATAACTTCTCAACAACTGCACACTTGTTGATGAGAATTTATTGTCTATACTGATATTTAATTCAAAATAACAAACTTTTTAAATGAAATAAGAACAATCGACATGTCCAAAACAAAATCCAATATTTACAGTACCAATTTTGTCAGTTACTAAGGCTAGTTTTCTTAAAATTAAGCATCATTTAAATTTTCAAAAGTCGTCACATCAGAGAAAAGTTATAGACATTTTATCAGCCTGAATTATAAAAGTTTACTTGAAGACCTTTGTAATAATTCACAGAGAGAGTCTGTGCTTACCAACAGACAGACAAACACAACCAATTACATACTCCCTCCCTTTGGGGGGAGAATAATGAAAATGGCCATATTAGATGTGTAGCTTTAGAGACAAACGCATGGCACAGCTGGTAGATGTACATAAACAAAAACAAACTCCACTTTAATCACCAGAAACATTCAGATCTACAGAGATATTTTCAAAAAAAAGAATATTTTAATCCTCCCAGATTTAAAACCTATAATGGTGCACTTAAACAGTATTCATTTAATACTGTTATAATCTAACAATCGCAAAACAGGGGCCTCTTGGCATCTCATTTAATTTGAACTCAAACAGGTTAAGGAACATGAAGGAAAATGTGCAGCCCCATAACAAACCCAGAGTAGGAAAATCAATTCTGTGCTCAAAGAGACAAAAAGAGATATTAACTTGATGCAAAGCACCTGTACAGTACAGTGTAAACAGCTCATAAAGCTTATAAATGATAGCTGATTAACCCCCTTCTCTATGAAATACCTCCTGCTGTTATCAAACACCAAATATGCCCACGCCACCCTCCCCTGTTCCCCAGAGAGACCAGCATCCATATGTCAGGGTCATTGTGTGTAACAACAGTCTATCTGGTTGTTGTTGCTCAGTCTTCATTCATTGTGTCCAATTAATATTATTTGCGTTTAAAGTATTTGTCTTCTGAGTCAAACGAGAGGTTAAAGGTGAGGAATCAAAACCATTTTTATCATTTATGCATTTTAAATTTGAGAAAAAACACAAGTGGATTTTGAAAGCAGAAAAGTAAGTCAAGGCAAATTACTTTATTATCGTAAATTATTTCAAAGGGGCTTTAACATATTAGCAAGCACCCTCTATCCTCGGTTTCCTTCACATCTAAGAAAGACAGACATCTAATAAATTTTTAAAAACATAGCAACATAACATATAACTTTAAAATAGAAGTAAACAGAACAGAAGTAACCCCTCATTTCTTTAGATTTTACTTCCACAGAGTCAGTAATTTTTAAAGTGGTCTTGAGCAACAGGCTTTCTGAAGGTCTTTCAAAGTTTTTCTTTGGACATTGGCTGCTTTTTCACTCATTTTCAGTCGAGTTCTTGTCTACAACCATCTGTAAAACACAGTGGAGGCTCTGTCATGATTTGTGTCAGTCAATAGTGTTGGAGATTGTGTCTCAATTGATTAATTATCAACACAGAAAAGTACCATCAGATTTTGTTCCACCATGCAATATGACCTGGAAGGCATGTGATTGGAAACGGTTAAAATTTTCAGCATGACAAGGATCCCAAACATACTGCCGACGCAGTAAAAGCATACCTGGATAGAAAAACATACAGCAGAACACTGTCAGGGGTAGGAAGATGATTTTCCATCTAACCCGATAAAGATGACTCTGATCTGAGCTGACAGGACCTACAGAGTCACTGTGAACACGCACGCACACGTTGGTTCATTCCCAGATGGAGATGAGATTCCCATCAGGTCCTCACATCCTGCTGTGCTAACACACACACACACGCACGCACGCACGCACACACACACACACACACACACACACACACACAC